CAAAGTCCTTTCTCTCCGTCTGGAACAATTCTGTAAGTTGACCCTCGCTTAGTCTGAGTATAGATTCCCTAAATCGTTATTCATAGAACAAACAGTCTCCGCGGCTAGCTGTATCACTGCTCTGCATTTAATTGACTTCCGGGGGATCACTTTACGGATATTAGACACATCAGAAACAGGTTGAACCGTAAATGTTTTGAGGGATTGGATTTATTTCACTGCCAATCTTCCATCATTGCTGAAACCGGCACCACAGTTCGGATTATCCAGAATGCCCACAGACTACCCCTCTCTTATGAATTGTTAGTTGACGGTCATAATGCACGGTTGAATTCGGTATGTGAATAGCACATGACGATACTGGCCTTATTTATTTCAGCACAGATCGAAAAGTCACAGATATTGCTCAGTTGATTCTCCACAATCCGAGGACGGATGCTAAGTAAGACTTTTCGCGGTTTAATCCGATTCAATCGACATTTTGAAGGTCATTGACAGGACTGGTCGATATCCAATCGCGCCACAAAACTTTAGGGTAACTTAGATACCTGTTGAGTAGACTGAGATTGTCAGTCATCAACGAGTTACAAGCAGTTCTTAGAGTTCCAACTCTTGCAACGAATAGAGCCATCACAGGTGCCAAACACATGGAAAATGAAATGAACCGGCTAGTAATATGCTTACGTTGTTTCACTTCTACAAAACCTTTATGTGTCAAGTCTGCACAGAGTGATTGATTTGCCTGTGTGCGAAAACACCTAGTGAGCACAGCACCAGGCTGATTGGTTTGTGCAAATGGCGCAGAGAAATCCCTGAGTTCCCGTTTTCGCAGAGTCAACCAAGAGCGCACAGGAGCACTCGAGTTCAATCCACCTGTTTAAACTGACAGATCGGAATAGGTAGGCTGCCCATTTCTTTCGATTGAAAACTAAAGAACACACTTATTGTGCTCAGAACATCAAATGAATGGGACACGTGGAATTCGGTCTTCTCGGGTTGGCTGTCAGCATAACGCGGACGGACAGAACAACCGACAGATGCCTAATCAGTGATACCTCCGGCCGATTTGGTTCATCTCAAAATGCCAAAATTGAAAATTTCGAAAATATCAGTCATAGGTGATTAAATTACGAGATTGGCCCGGTGATCATATGCGTTTGAATTTCCGCACAATCGCTTAACTTTTGTCTATCGAGCAGTTAATGATCAATGGGTCCCGTTGCACGATCACTCCTGACCTACTTGCTTGGCATATCCCAATAAACGTTCAAAATGATCTAAAGCAGTTACATCAATCAATAAATTGATGACCGATTCATCCATATCTCACTTGAGCAGCCCTCAGTTAACAGCGCACACAGACACGCGTGCGTGGTCGAATCAAAACTCAAACTCACAGTTGTTATGAGTATTATGGTGGTCGGGTAACTTATTGTTACTTTGAATTAACGATAATTCAGACAGTCCATTCAATTGTACATTGAGGAAGGGCTAAGCTGGAGTTGCACTCGCGTTAGAGATCTGGGATGTATTTTCACCACTTAGCTTAGGAGAGTGCTCTGAACCTTTCACATTTTATGCTCTCAGTTTCCATCCTATCAGACAGCTCACAGGGAGGCTAATCCAGGTCCTAGAGGTCGTTTTTGCTCTCTTACGACATTCTACGTTATCGAACAGAAACAAGCAACGTTCTATCCCTTTATTAACTCCAATCGAAATTATTTCACTGCCGATTTGATTATACACGGGCACTGACTGTATTCAACAAGTGTAAAACTAGATTGCGTAGTCACTCAAGCATTGCGCACACAACACACACGCATAATGAACCCGTTTACGAGTGCAAAATGATTAGTCCGATCTAGCCTCAAATGTCAAGCTCAATCCACGTTGTACGAAAGTAAAGGAAGAATGGACGGCGGAGAACGTGACTCACAGCAGCATAAGAGAATAATTATTCTTCACAGTTAAATCATTTCTCTAAATAAGGACGAATGTTGAAAGCGAAAGAATCAGTTGGGCTTGCGGGCCACTTATTTGACCGAACGAGAAATAAGTAACTATCTGTATAGCCCGGAACAGTGTACGGTCACATATGATCGATCGTACTTGTGTATCAGAAATTTAATTTAGAAAGAGGTAAAACAGTTGAACGGAACACTTTAAAAAAGTATTTTTCTTCACAAAATATTAGGTTTTTCACGTCTACCTAAGTCACAGGATAATTCCAGTAAATGCTTGATCCCGGGGGTGGAAAGGTTTACGTCTATTCCGACGACTGTGGTACCGGTGAGAATCAGTTGGATAAGAAAACAGCACCAACGCGTGGACTGCAAAAACGACTGGACAGTGAAGTCCGATTATTAGCAATGCAACAATCATCAGTTAGATGAGTGATTGATCATACCTGGTTGGTGTTATTAGTCTCCTCACGAATGGACCCGCTCTGTTTGTACGCGTTACCATCTGTCTGGTTGGCTTTCTTCGCCAAGCGCTGTTTTGCCTCTCTCCGATCCATTTCATCCGCCAGAGCGCGTTCCTTCTCCTCCTGCGCCATTTGTTCCAAACGCCATTCCCATCCCTGGTCGGAGAGACCGCGGATAACCATATCGGGCAATAGGGCCAGGAACATGAACACAAGCAACGCGAACCAACCGGTCCCCGCACCAGAACCGCCCCAGAGCACGGTGTACGTGCCAAACAGTTGCGCGCCCGTCTCCAACGGGAACAGGTAATAATTCAGGAACAAGAACATGGCCCAATTCAGAATGAATGTGAGCGCGAATCCCAAGCCGACGACCCAGTTGATAAAGTGACTGAAGAAAATCAGACGCAAATTGACCACGAGAAAAATGCTCATCAGAACCAGATTGCCAAAACACACAATTTCTCCTACTGCCGACCCGCCGTAATTGGTTTGTGTACTACTCCCACCACTCGCCTGTCCTTGGAACGCGACAAAATAGGCGCCGAAAAATATCACAAATGCATGCCACACAGCTAAACAGATCCACATGAGAAAATTCAGCCGGGATAGTCCACGATTTCGCACAATCGATCGATAAAGGGCAGGAAAGGCTAAAAGAGTGGACCGGGGAACGGGTTTCTCGAATACACCATAAAGGAAAATGGGTAAAGAGGTCATGGTTATGTTGAAAAAGACTAAATAAAATTCCGGATAGATAGTTTGAGCTGAATAGACACAAAAAAATCCAAATAACATTTGAGGGAGGGTGAAAACCAGATTCTTGTAGAAAAAATACAATACAAGCATAGCTACACGGATGTAGTAGGTGTGCCCGTGAAAAAGAATGGCCGTTTTCAGGAATTGGAACCGACCAAACGCGTAGTCCGCCGCTCGCACGGCTTGACGGCCTTCTTTGCCAAACAGACCAAAGCTCACATGAGCCTCGAGGATCATGGACACATCGTTTGCCCCGTCCCCAATTGCTGCAGTGACCGGAGGTGGAGAACGGCTCTCCTTGATCAGTCTGACCACCTCGGCTTTTTGGATCGGGGTCAATCGACAACAGAGCACAGTGGTTGCGCTCAAACAGCATTCGGTGAATTTCTTACGTAACGGAAGCTGCAAAGCGGGAGGAAACAAGTGAGAGAACATTAGAATACTGGTATCCAAACCCTGCTTTTGATCAGAGTGGCGTTTTGCAGAAGTGACATATTGTATCAGTGCCGAAGATTCAAAGTTGAATACAAAATATTATTACAGAAAATTGCTATATCCTATTTCGCATCCAATATTGGTCAATCAGAAGGATTAATAGCTTGCTGTCATTCACTGTCGATGGGTGGGTGCACGATTTCCAGTCAACAGAAGATAGAGTGCTCAATGGAAATCGGGGATGGCTGAAAGCAAGTGCGAACAAAGGGGAACGGTGAAGGGCAATGTGAGATTGGAGACGAGGAGGCAGTAATTGGCGCAAAAAACATTTTTCCTGGCACTGGGAACGTCAGTGGTGGTTGCATTACATCACGTTGCCTATTCAGGCTGAAGTTCAAGATTCAGATCACTGTGTGAACAAACCTTATACGCAACTGTTTAATGTGGTGCCTTGGGGGTTTGTCGGTACGGCCTTATCACATACTGACATGGTTGGTATTCCCCTCGTGAACCCTTACAGAAACAGGCCAGATCGAATTCCGCTATCCGTTTTGACGGCCACCTCAATGCGTGTCCCAGATAAAGTNAGATAAAGTGCATTAGACAACACATGCAGGCAATTTGACCGACCAGTGTGGAAATAAACTGATGAGATGAACCACCTTTGACAAGCAGAACAACTGACAACTTGGTTCAAATACACGCCCAACGGAGAAGCGTTGCTGGTGATCTTAATTGAGCATTACTCTTACTACTTCACTTTGGCGAACACCTTCGAATTTCTAATCGGTTTCATGCTTACCACTCAAATTAATAGCTCTTTGGTTTAAGAGATGTCCCCGAAATCATCCGGCTTTTCTCTCTCTCGAAAGAGAGAACACCTCTGGCCTTCACACCACTGATGTTCATGATTGCAGGCGGCTTCATAGGAGCTTATTCGCCCTAGTAGTACGATAAACTCCCATTTCGGTCTTTGGATCAAACCGTTGCCTCCATTTCCTCATTGGGAACTAGTTGTTTTCGCGAGTCACATTCCACCTCGCCGAGGATTTTTTGATCACAGGTATCCTAAATCGGACTCAGCTCGTTTGTCTAGTGTTACCGAGAGTGACAGGATTCCGACGTTGGTTATCCGAACAAGAACCACTGCTAAGAGACGCAGGACAAATGTTAAGTTACCTTTTTGCCAGTTGTTCTACCGCGTGACGCGAAATCACGAGGCCCAAAAGTGAAGGACCGAACTGCGACGAATGTCTCATTCGTCGCAGTTCAGTGACTTTTAAGCAAGAAAACTGTCAGTTTGGTCTAAACGTACGCTGCCGGAGAAGAATTGTGAATAAACATAGTTGAGGGTTGCCTCAAGGCTTTCAGAGGGGATATAAAGTTAGACCTGGTTTGATCAGAGCCCATTCGCTTTTTTGCGAAAATTTCATTAAAATAATATCCTCCGATGTCAGGCCCTTCTGAAGCAAAAATATTCATCCCCTGATTATTGTGGATGCCTGATAGGAAACGTCACAATTCCGAGGTCACCTGTTAATTGGGAATATTTTAGGGATGTGGAATTTATCTGAACATGCGTTCTTGCGAATGAGAGTGAGTCTTCAATCGAATACTGGACGATGGGCCTGATATTTAAAAAGATCTATAGACCACGGGAGAATCGATTGATTGATTACTGATGGTAAGGGAACAAGATTAGGTGGTCGTTCATAGAATACAACAGGATCTAACCAAGAGAATCACTTTCGAGAACCATTGCACGCATCTCGTACGGAGTCTTTTGGTGATTGCTGTTGATGAGATTATCACGAAATAGTTGAATTCAACATATCCTACTGTGTTCACGACGCTTCTCGCTCTCATGAAAATGTTAAAGGAAACTGGTTACATAATATTTGTGGACCGTTTCAAGTTTCCAATCCGCTTATCATTATGCGCAATGAGTTTTGCTTCCTGTCATATAAGATTTCCGCTATTTTATTTCCTTTTCTGCTAACATTTTAGATGTTCCCACCACGCAGAAATACATATGAAAAACATGAGAGCCAAAATATTAACAAGCCAGCTTAATGTTTCTTCAAACAGAGTCTTGTAGGCTTGTGAGCATGACACCATTGGTTATCTTCCACCCACGCCTCCCACCAAGATAAAATTTTCTGGTTGATTTCAGATCGACATCGTTCACTCATGTGCGTGGAAAAAATGCATGCACCACGGAAACCGAAGAATCTATCTTCAGGTTATACCATGTATGATAGCACAAAACACCTTCAAGATGAGGCAGAGAGCTTTGTGTCTCATTTGGTAACGCTGAGTATCATGACAGGGAGGAGAGCGCACAGTGGAACAGACAGTTATGCTTCTTTGAAAGTTATTTATAGTAACGATCACATGATCCAGATCTTTTTGAATATATATACAATGCGATTCTGGGACTTCTGTGAAAGCAAATCCGTGTCGAACGCATCCACAAAAGGGTAGACTCATTATCGGCTTAGGTCAACTGCGTCCTACTTAGCGACGCTATTGCAATGAAATACGAATCAAATCAGCAACATGGTAGGGGATTCAAAGACAGAAAATACAAAATTCTCAATTCTACTAGTGAGACAGAGAGAGAGAGTCAAACGAGGATAGCTTCCTCGTGATCGATCTGGATCCAAACACGCTATTATCAGGTTTGATTTATCGATTTTTCAAACAGAAATTCCAATCACGAGGACTGTGGGACAAACATTTTGAACATACCTTTTTGGCAGTAAAAACAGAAAAAATTAAAGAAATTGTTTTTAACACTGATTTTGGTAGCTTTTAAAAACAAATGAACTATGTGATTGAGATAAATCCTGAATATGTCACCCTACGACTGAGGATTGGTTTATGTAATCCACTAGCTTCTGAATGGATTTTCAATCGGGAAGAAATGTGATTGTGGTGTTCAGTAAAGAACGCGATCCGGTCCTCTTCGAGCAACCACCACACGCCGGTCTGATTGATCGTACAGTGTCGTACGCGAACAAGACTCACTTCCAAAGCGAAATTCAATGACTGTCCATCAATAACCACACCAAAAGGAGATTCCGGATCGATCGATTTCGATTCGCGAATTCGTTCGATTTGGCGATCGATTTCGTTCGAACACTGGTACAGGGTTTCCTGCTTGGTGATGCGAGCCTCATTCATGCCATGATAGAAATGCCCGGCCGAGTAGCTGATATTCACCGCGGTCTCTTCTTTGTCGCCCGTGAGGATCCAAACCTGAGGTGGGAAGGCAAGGATTGGGTGCGAAGGAAAGTCGTAGATCAGAGCAATCGGAACACGAGTGTTTGACTTGGGAACGGTGTAGACATTTCCCTCTCTTACGTTTTACTCTACTATAATAGTGCATTTTTTGTTTTTGCTAGCACAGTTTCATGTGATGAACAGCACAGACGGTGAAAGCCCCTGCTATCCAGTGATGGAAACCGGGAACCTAAGCCCCGGGACTAGGAGTGGCGAACTACATTAGGCCCTNGTTAGGTGTGGTATTGAATGGGACGACAGCAAAGCTGATTACCACCAGAGTTGGGTGGCAGTAGCAGGGCTGGAACCTCGAACTGTAGCGTCAAAAGCACGCCTGTCACAGTGACTAAACCACTGCGCCGCCACCACACGGATGATTGGGCATAAATTGTTCACACACAAAATTGACTTCAAACTCGTTGTTTATTCAGCAAAGTTTGTCGTCAAAATCTTTAGTACAAAAGAAGAGTAAATAAATCCAGGGCAAAGATTGACGGTGAATGTTTTAACTGCTTTTCGTAGCATGAAGTCTACGTTAGCAAATGTAAATGTAAATGTCTTTTTACTTCCTTTTTATTTATTGAATATACAAATGTACCGTCAACATTCACGAACGGGGGTGGGGTGAGGAGAGAGCGCGTGCATACAAAGGCTGCCTGGGAAGACGGGCGGCGATGCAACGGCTTGAACCCGGGACAGCCAGGTCATAAGTTGGTGACCTAACCACCGCAAAATGCGGAATACGTTTTGCTGGCAGACCGAACCCGTTTAGCAGAAATAAATCCAAGTGAATAGATGCTGGGCTGAATAAGTTTATGGAACCCAAGTTTCGGCGTATGTTGAGTTTTCGGCAGTCAGATAAACCTGTCCCCCATCCTTTGGACGAGACGAATTCACACTATACCACCTTGAGTTTAGTGAAGTTTTGGAAGCTGCGATTGTTTGGCGGGTTTTATTGATTTTTTAAAGTCCCCGGACAGCAAACAGTTCATGGAAAGTGGACTGCGCTTCATACTCTGTAATTGTGCTGTTTGGTTCATTTTAGGCATTTTGAAATAAAATGTGACAGAAACTTTAGAGATAGACAAAAAATGGGGAACAAGTAAGTACAGTCAGCAGAATTATAGATCAATCAGGTTCAGACTATTTAATGTTAAAACAAGCGCTCCGGCTGGCTCATATCTGTACTTCAACACAATGAACCAAAGTAAACATTTAGTTGGAAGCACCTAAATACCGATACATGCCAGATGTAGCCAATCAGCTGACTGCACACCTACAGTAGCAATGAACTTTAACCAAAAAGATAAGTAGGTGACAGAGAATCGGTCGGTCACTTGATCACGTCAGTTAGACCAGTAACAGAAGTGAATAAGACAAGGAACGGCCAAAGTTCACTTCAGTCAGGGATTCAGGGTCTACCACATCAGGGTCAGATCGAATCCAGGTTATACTGATTGGCCTTAAGTTGTCGAATAGCGGTACATTCGACAAACTGAAGTAGATGACCGGAAGGGGATGCCAGTGTCGTAACACTATAGAATTTGTGCCCGGGACGATTTGCCCGCAACTATTGTAGAATATTCCACACAAAACCTACAAGTGGTGAGGGGAGGTACAAGTGTCGGGTTGGTAGTAATAGAATCATACGATAGTTTTTTTCCTGCCTACCATTCTAAAGGATTCACTTCGTTGTCAGTGGAACAATTTGTTCGCGGCACTTTTATATTATCTTGCTGAACGGTAGTTTATTTTCTTAGCTATGTTAAAATAGCAACAATGAGTCAGGTGTTTGTATTCTATCAAGCGAACTGTGTACACAGAGAGAAAAAGGAGCTGTTCTGAATCAAGCCGGGGCACTAGCCATTCAAAATTACCATCCCAATCTGTGTAAACAGCGTGAATGGCTTATCACTCTGGCGCTACCTTGGGAACAAATGTGTTTGGTGGGTAATTTTGACCGCAATCTTTCTCCGCCTATGATTCTGTTATTTACTGACTATATATTAATGATCACATAAACTGCAGTACACAAGTGTACAGATGGAGCGAAATGATCCAGGATACATTGTGCAAACCTGTTTTGGGCTTCGCTATTCAGAAAGAGGAGCACTCGAGTGTGTTATCCAAAACTACAGTCCTTCGGCCAATCAGCACACACCTAGACAGACATTTTTCTCTGTCACCTATTCAATTCGACTAATTGTAAATCATGTAAAATGAGAGCAATCATTCAAGGAGGCCAGATTTGACACCAGCCATTGTTTATCAGAGCGTGTTTATCAAGCAAACTCAAAATGTTACTCGCCAATGAAAAGCGCTGACAGTTATTTCATCCTTTTCAGGATAATTCACTGGTACATATCCACGGAATCTATTGGGATTCGAACCCCGGACACGGGGGTAGGAGTGGTAATCTGATGCATTGCTGATCACATGGACTATCCCGGGTAGCTTTCCATATCGGGGACCAGTTGTGATCAGTTTTATTTGACGAATACACTTTTAAAACAAACAAACGTATCCATCTAGAATAACAATCGTGGTGATTGGTCGACAGTTTATCATCCTTTAAAAACACCTTTCAGGCGAATCAGTCGGATATAAGTAGAACTTGTTGTAACAAAATTCCACAGGCTTTTTACGTTTATTCAGATCGATTGAAACTAAATCAACAACAAAGGAGACACTTATTGACTGTAACAATTCGCACATAGACAAGGCCCGGAAATCAACCTTCCGAAAAACCATCAGATACACACCACAGTTGTTCGGATAGGAGGATACTGGACAGCGTGTCCCGGATACTCATGAGGGTGGTGATGTTACCAAACATGAATCTATAGCTTTCTGAAGAATGCGGATTTTTGTTCTGTCCGACGCACTGCACAAATGTGCACACAACAAAAGAGCGCGATATCTCAAAGAGTTACAAGAGATAACTGTGAAATAACTAGGAAAAAAACGCTGACCTTAGAGTGTGATTCGGCAATTGCCGCTCACGTTCAGGGTCACAGCATCAGTTAACCATAATGCCAAGGTCTTCCAGTGTGGATATCCTACATACTTACGGAGCTCATTCATGTTGAGGCTTCAGCACGTGGTACTCACTCGACATGCCTCAAACGAAACAACAGGACAGAAATCCTGAGGAGAACGGACAGAACTGTGAGCGGCGACAGATAAACACACCCAGGAATGAGTTGACTTAATTGCACGAAAGGCAGCCAATCACCACATCTTTCTTCTCCCAAATGAATCGGCCAATATTACTACAGATATGAAATGAATGGAGTCTAATCATTTAGCCATACAGTTCAAATCATCACACGAATAATCATACTTGCATAAACACACACTAATTAACTTCCAAAAGCTCAAAACTACTATTATCTAGGATTTGTTTGATTGTAAACGTGTCTTGAGAAAAGGAAACCAGGGAAACCGAAACGTCGAGCGATTATCAACTCTCCCCACAACGCTGTTTTATCGAATATCAAACACTTGAGCATAGCATTTTACATGCCGCATCGTTTTTTTCCATGCACTCCAAGTCGGACTTGATTCCGATACTGCAAAGCATTTTTCCGTCATCGAAATTTCACTTAAATATATGCTAGGTCGATGAATACATAAATGTCAACGGTGCAGTTAGTAGAGTATTTGCCGGTAGGCAGGGATTGGAAGGGACTGGTTCAAATTCTCAGATTTTAAAATGTTTGGTTTGGAATTCTAGTCAATGTAGTTTTGATTTTCAGAACATTATCATGTTTGTTTTAATCGGATCTTTTTTAAACGTTTCTGGGTTGAGAATCATTGGAATTTTGCGCCTTTACATGAAGGAGGAGATGATTATGAATTAGAATATTTCAGGAAGGTGAGGGATAGAAACCACTTCCCTTGTTGCCCAACCAACCTAGTATCAATTAACACTAAAGTAGTTTTAATACCACTTGGATTGTTTGTAGACCTCTTAAGGTCAAATGGAGAACTCCGAGCGTACATACATACATAAACCCCTTTGATGATGGACGCAAAGAAGAAAACTTGAGTCTTTTGCGTGTTTATCCCTGTTTTAGTGATCTCATCATAGGAGGTCGTTCGATAATGCTTCAATGAAGGAGGAAGAACAGTCATCGTAAAGGATCCGAAAGTTTTATGATGCGTGCTTACGTAAGCCCGTTTCCATCTAGAGGACGTTAATGCAATCGAGACCAGGAAAAACGGTCATTTTAAGTCAGATCCTTGATAGCAGCTTAATTCAGGGTATTCATCTGCGTTCTGTGCAGCCAATACCTAGCCAATGGGATCTGATCAAAATTTATTTCACATATGCACACGCTGAGCAACCTTCTTCGAATAGCTTTTCGCTCCTGTTAGGCATTCCGTGTGCAGAGCAGAAAACTCAGTTTTCCTCCAACAAGAACATAGCGCAGTTTTCACTATGCTATCAGACTACCGTCTACGGACAACATATTCAGTTCAGTGTTTATATATCTGGGTACGAGTCGTGCTATATAGACAGTGAATTCGACTGTGAAGCCAACGGTTCCCAAAACCAGATTCAAATGTGTCAGACAGACTTTCAACGGGAGTGTCACAGCAGTATCACTTCATGTTGTTTAGGCCAATACTTATTAAGTTATAAACTGTTTCGAAGTATAAGTTGCACAAAGAATGTCACAGCCGAAGTGTAGTTCCGTTTGTCCGGAATCTCCACCACTAGTTCCATGCACCCGTGCACGATGGATACGGAGTGAATACACTTACATTTCGGGCGACCAAATCTATGAGAACGGGTTTAGCGCGGACCAGTTTAACGGTACACGCCATATCCGTTTATCTGTTTATCAAATGTTACAAAAAAGAAATCAAATAAAACCAAACTGTCGATGGTTACTCGGAAGATACGGTTTACATAAACGCTCCACTCGAGGTAGATAATGCAGTTAACAATGGTGAGTAGATATGTACTG